ACGCACACACGGATGTTTTGTTCTTTGAGTGATTGTTTGTTCAGCATACTTTGAAAGTATCACACCCAATGTTCCACTGAGACCTTGTCAGGAATATTTATCAGATTTTACTTGTGAGCTGTTTACTGTGAACGTCTGCTGCAAATCAACTGCTGGGCCTGTTTTCTGTCACGGATAAGAAGTACTGTCACTGCACCTCTAACTAAGTACATTTACTGAGCTGAAGTACATTTTCAACTACTTATTCTGTATTTAAGAAGTGCAGTTTTATGCTCCTACATACTTCTACTACACTCCATGTTGGAGGAACATATTGTTCTTTTTACTCCACAATCTGACATCTGGAGTTACTTTACATATTAAGATTTCAAAATAAAACATATGATGAAGAAAATATGATGCTGTGCTACAGATTAAACTATGCAGCAGTATGTGATTAACATATTCTTATATATATATATATATATATATATATATATATATATATATTTATGCTCTCACACCCACTGTGACAGCATATGAAATACTTTCAGGTTCGTCTTCCCGTAAGTCTACGGCTGCCAGTGAGCTTTAGGACATTCTTTTCTCACATGTCGAGTATAAATGATTAGAGATAAGAAAAGAGCACAACAATGACGAACTGTATCGCTATCTTCACTTCAAACTGCAACTTTACTGACAGATGGTGAATTTAGATTTTATTTTGAAAAAGACATATTGTAGATCTCCATTAGCTGCATGAGTGGGTGAAGTCCATAAACCACTGTGTGAAAGTCACTACGTATCAACATGATGACATCCAGCCCGCTCTCAACAAATGGTGAATGAATCATGTAAAAGACATTTTGTATTCTTAATAGTTTTTTGCATTTTTATGGTCATGCAAAAGTATGTGTGTTAAGCCCTTTAAAATGTTTACCATAGTTAAGGTAATTGGTCATGTTGCAGAATGTGCTTTGATGTATGTTGTTCTCTTAAGTAGGTTTTAGCTTGTTAGGCTCTCATGGAGCAGGATGTGGAGCAGCAATTTTTCTGAATGCAGATTAGACTTTTTAGTTACAGCCAGCAGAAGGTCCATGTTTTGGTACTCCATTTATTGCATAAGGATTTTGTCTATTTTTTTTGTTTACATGGAATAAAACTACTTTAAACTACGAGCTACGAGCCTCATCATTGGACAGCTAACAAGAAAAGTTTAGTCTGCAAGAGCACGTAAGTTGGACATGGTAGTCTCCACAGGTCAGAACCCTTTACATCCTGCAAGAAGTGGCCAAGAAGGACGGTAAAATAATCTGTCACTACAAATTATATCACAATCTGTAAGTCATTCAGAGTTCAATAACAACGCCATTCTCGCTTTTGCATGTAATGTTACGCCATGAAACAACATGGCAATTATGTTTATGTTGAAGTTAAATGAAATCGATATTTATGTGCGAATTAACACAAGTTGAATTGTGGTATTTTCGGGATGGTGATGCAGGCTCTTGAACCGGCTCCGGGTCTCCAGGTTAGTGCCCCTTCTCAATGTTTTTACTGATACACTAACAATAAGAAAATGTTTCTATAAATAGCCACATGATGGCGCTAATCTGTACAAAAGAAAATCAGTTCCTTGGAATCCATCCTCTCTTCAGCAAACTGCATTGAAATGTGTGAAGGATGTTTAAGATATCATTACTACCGAACAGACAGACATGACTCTAATGTCTTTGGCAGACGAAATAATCATGATCATGCAGATAATATTTAGATTTTAAGCAGCGATTATCTGCTGTTGGCAGTTTCTTCTCCTCACCTGAACCTGGTCCTCGTGTCTGACGGTTTGTGTCTCAGACTGAATCAGAAATCCCCTCAGTGCCTGATACTCTGTGCAGATCATCAGTCCCAACCTGAGCGATACAATTCCCCTTCTCATTGTACATCCAAATAATCAGCCAAGGATCATGGCAGGTCGCGAAATAGTCACAAAATGTAATCTATTGGTTTTCATGTACATGGACGTAAACAGTCTGCTTCTTTCGTGTCGCTCAGGACGAAAATAACTCCAATGGAGAGTCAATTAAGAATCGTATTTTCTGATTGGAAACACAAAAGAAATGCATGTTACTTAACAACGGTCAGAACAAGTAACAAAGTATTTAATATCCAGAAATACACAGGACAATAAAGAGACCGGTATTCAACACCGGGTTGTAGTTTTATGGTTGTGGTTTTTGTTCATCTAGCGCCATCATTAGTTCAAAATGTTGTTTCATGAAAAAATACCCACAAAACTAATGACATACCCATCAGAAAAATATCAGAAACACTTTGTAATAACTACACGCTATGAAGCAGAATATGTTTTTGTTTTTTACACAGCTCAATGGCTGAGAGGTCTGTATTTACGAGTACATTGTTTGCATCTTGTCATAAATATTGATATGTTCTTGATCACTTTGTGTTTTGTCTATTTGCCTTTTCTGTTGAGAAGATAACTGAGACTTTTGTGGGTTTTGAGGCACTGATGGTCTTTCAATGTCATTTATAAATGCTTTGTAAGCAGATAGTCCTCACTTTAGATGAGGTCACACAAAACACTACCTGGATTAATCATGAATTGCAGTATTAATACAAGTTTATAAAGCATATATTAACATAGTCCCTAACCATTAGTGCATATATAAATCATTATAAATATAAATGCATGAATAATGTACATCTAAATAAGTTCTGAATCATTTACTAACACTTTATAAATGATGTTATTAATCATCAACAACTCCTTAATTGGTTTGTAATATATATATAAAACTTCATTTACAAAGTATGAAAACACAATCATGAAACACATAATACACAAGCTTATTAATCAACGATAAAACATTTATAACTGTTATTAATTGCATGCTAATGAGTGTTAATGTGGGAACAATGCTTTATAAATGATGAATTAAGTGTTTACTCATACTTAACTAATGCTTCATAGTTTAAACATAATCGTGCATGTGCAAGCATAAGTTTAGTATGATGTTGAACTGCTGTCTACCATCTTGTGTACACATATTTAGTATCTACAGTTATGTGAAGTTGATGATCTGTCAGCAGATGTCGCCACTAGTCAGCGTTCAGGCGGTTGAAGGTTATGGGGTTATGTAATGACAGAGGAGGAGGAGCACTTGGTCTTGGCTGGTCTGGTTCCGTGTTGGGACTTGACTAAAGTTATCAGGAAAACCCAGAATGTGTTGAACTGATTTATTCCTTATCATACACCCACGTCGCTTACATTAGCATGCTGACGTTAGCCCCGAATGATTACATCGCACACATGCACAACAAACCACAGACAAACAAAGCATTGCTTATTATGTAATGAAGACATCAAATGGAAGGTTGATATAATGCACATTTCCCCTTTTATTGTAAATTAAAATCCCATTTAAAAGACACAAATACATGACTTCACCATGATTACAGGCGGTGAAGGATCCAGCAGAGTTGGTTCGGGCATCCGATCAGGATTACTTGTGGACACCTCCCTTTACAGGGTTTCTCAGGTAAACCCAGAAATATCATATATCTCATCTGGAAAGGTTTCTGTGGAGAGGTACGTCTAGAATACCCTGCTAAACCTACTGCGCCTGCAACCCGGCCCGAGTCAGCAGAAGGGAACGCAATAAAGGTTTCAAAGTGTGGAAAGTTTTCTAGCTACACAAACTGAACTGCATGTCTAACGGCACATATTGTCAAGCTACAGATGTAACAAATGTAGGTAAATGTTTTGTAATTTTAATGGCAAATTATTTGATCTAAATGTAGACCATTCGGTAAGATTTACAGATGCTATCAGGTCTTTCAATAAATAAAGGTTTGTCTACATCAGTAATCCTAGATGCAGCATTTAGACAGGCCTAAACTGTACTTCAGATTATGTCTGGTGGAAAATAATATGCAAATGAGTGGAATAAGTGGAATTTTGTTTTCATAGTGGTAGAAATGTACGCCTGTTTTTAAGTTCTACCAGCTAGAACTGGTTAAGTGAACACTCTACTGCGTGTGACGGTGTGATTGGTTTCCTAGCCGTGGAGCAAACAACCATAAATAGATTCCAGGAAATAATTCATTAGCTTTGTTCTGTATGATGCAATGCACTAACAATTGACTTAGTATAAAGGTTTGTTTTTCTGGTTTTTATCTTCCAGTAGACTGGAATCAAGGGAGGGATAGTGTCAACATGCCAGATTAATGTCAGGCCTGTCATTATGCACCGTAGTACAATCCACCACCAGGACGCCCCATTGTATAATTGTTCAAGCCTATCTTAAAACAATAGCCAGGTGTTGATATGAACATTGGAACAGGTCTTTCTTGCTGTAATAATCCCTCCTGTTCATTCTGGCCATCACATGTAAGAGATTCCTCTTTACGGCCACAACTTCTAAAGTTTATTTGAAGTAGAGCGATGATCACGGCCAAAAGATCAGGCTGAGCTGGAGCTCGATTAAAACCAACAATTCCCACTGTCATACGCCATTGCACAATATATTGTATGTAAATAGAGACTGCAAGAGAGGTTTTGTGGCATGAGTTGAAAACAGCAGCGAAAAATCAATGAGCAAACACGACCCGATTTGATCCTGATGGTTCGGCAGAGAATCAAATCTCTAATCTGAAGGCCGAGATGAGGCTTAAGCAGTCTGAGTTGGACAAATCAAGTGTTTACCTTTCAAAGTTACTGTTGTTCTAGTGCAAAATATGTTGCTGTCCCACCACTCCAGCAAAGCAACACTGTCTGGGAAAACAGAGTGAATTCTGTGCCAAAAAGACTTTAGAAGATACTGACTTCATTTGTCTTACTCGGACTGCTAAAGCCTTCAGATAAATGTACAGAGGAGGGATGTGTGGATTTTGACTGGGAGAGTGGATATGGAGGAAAGGCCTGAAGGGACGGGCTGTCAGTGATGCAGACTTACCGACCTTCTAGCTAGTTTAAGGGACTTTTGGAGCAAGCGTGAGCTAGGTAGGTAGGTCAATTTGTAGGTGGGTAGGTGGGTAGGTCGTTGGTAAGATAGGAAGGTATGTGGGTAGGAAGGTAGGTAGGGAGGTATGTGGGTAGGAAGGTAGGTAGATAGGTAGGTATGTGGGTAGGTAGGTAGGTAGGGAGGTATGTGGGTAGGAAGGTAGGTAGGAAGGTATGTGGGTAGGTAGGTAGGAAGGTAGGTAGGTATGTGGGTAGGTATGTAGGTAGGTAGGTAGGTAGGTACGAAAGTCGTTGGTAAGTTAAGTAGGTAGGTAGGTAGGAAGGGGGGTATGTGGGTAGGTAGGGTTTCATCGAAAAAGAGTTGGCAACACTAGGCTGGGTTTTTAGGTTGGATCATTTTAAAATGTTGCGTACTCTTGCTAGTTTCTCATTACAACCAACTCTAGCTTTAAAAAGAGATCTTTTCAAATAGCATTATGATCCGGAGGGATGATGAAGGAATGTACATATAGACACGTGAGCATTGTTTTAGTAAGACAGACCTCTAAAGGAGGTGAATCAATCCTTTAACAAAATACAACAAATAGTAAAAGAGATTAGTTGGGTTTAGTTATCCCAAGCTGAAACTAAAAGAGATTTGCAGTCTTCAGCTTTTCTCTTCCTTATGAAGTAACCAACAACCGCAGCCATCACCACCAGTGACACAAAGAAGGCGCTGGCAAACACCACAGTGCTGATGTTGGTGTTGAGGATCTCCTTCATTCCCCAAGCTCCTTCGCTGGATTTAATGTCTGGATAAACTGGTGGAAGATTCACTGAAAGACAACAGCGTATTTGTTTTTAAGTCGGAAGGTGGGTTGGTAGGTAAGTAGGTAGAGCGAGAGATGGATAGATGGATGGATAGATAGATAGATAGACAGATAGATGGATGTTAGATAGATAGATAAAAGAGTTGTTGGTAAGGTCAATAGGTCAGTAGGTGGGTAGGTAGGTAGATAGGAAAGTAGGTAGGTGGGTAGATAAGTAGTGGATAAGGTAGGTGGGTAGGTATATCATTGTTAGGAAGGTAGATAGTTAGGTAGCTAGGTAGGTATGGCTATAGGTCGTCCGGTCGGTCGGACGGCTGATAGATCAATAAATTAATTGATAGATCACATATTCACCTGTAGCGGACGGGTCACTCTTTTTAATCACAGGGCTGTCATCATCCACAGTTGCTTTGGCAACAGCCTGAATGCCAAACCGCAAAGGACCCTGGGTAATGTAGTGTCCGACTGTCTCCCTGTGCAGCGAACGCTTGCGCCTGCGCCGGGATGGATCCGTCAGACAACCCTGGGCACATCTGGAAAAGGCACTGCCAGGCTCGCACAGGATGACAGAGCAGGTGATGTACACCTGTAAGATGGAAGTTAAGAGGTTTTAGTAAAAGAAGAAGACAAGACATCCTTTAATAACAGGAAACTGTAGCTCATGCGTTGCTTCAGTTTGCATTTTCACAAAAATCTAATTTCATCTGGTCTTTGGTGATATTATATATATATAGTACAACCGGATACCTTTGACACAGGTGTCTGCAGTTCTAGATTAATCAGTTCTAGATTAATCAGTCAGTAATAAACTGTAAAGACAGTAGGGCTTAGCTAAAGATCTTGGAGCTACTGTTATTTGTGCTACCACCACCAACAACCAAAAAACAGATAAATAGCTACCAGATGGCAACCTCCGGCTCTGAAAAGTGAAGTCGGTGCTTCATGTCTTAAACCTGCATTCTCTCTACTGTCCACCAGGGGGCGACTCCTCT